TGCTCTTACCGGGTAAGATTCTTGGCCCTTGTCATATTCATCTGATGAGGAAATTTATCCGGTAAACACTTACCAAGTAAGCGTTTAGTAAACGGCCCTTTAGTAAATGTTTATCCAGTAAACATTTGATAAACGATCATTTAGTCTGCTTTATTGGTAGATGTTAACTTATACGCTTTCGATTATTTTATCTATGATTTCATCTTTTAAATAATTCTTAATTCGACCATTCATTCCATCGCCATCGATAAATGATGACGACCACCACCACCCATTGCCACAAACCCAAACAACAAATACTGTATTCATGTACTTTAAATTATAAAGCTCAAATTGAATTACGTAACCTACGTAAATTTAAATATAAAATCCATGTATTTAAAATCGAAAACTTGGGGGTCCGTTTGGTTTACAATATTTTCTTCTGTGGGATTTGGATTTTATTGAGGGATTTGAAATCATTGGTGTGTTTGGTATGTATGATTTGGAATTGAATTATTTTTTATTATTTATAAAAAAAATTGTAAATAATTAAATTACATTTTTATTAATCGATTATTACAAAAACAAACATTTTTAACATTTTTTAAACCCTTATTTCATACAATCTTACGAGATCTCGTGAAATCCCGAGCACCCTCTAAGGATTTCAAAATCCTATGTTTGTAGAATTTCAATTAAATCCTCTATTTTGGGAATACTATGTATGGATTAAGTTGTTTGTATAGATTGGGTGGGTTTTTGTTTAAAAGAGTTTTTCATAGATGAAAGAAATGTATTTCTATATTTGGAGGGACATGTTTGGAAAAAAAAAATTGACTTTCTACATAAAGCTCCTCCTAGAAACTTATTGAACAAGTCATTTCTATATCATAAAGACACAATCTAACAATTATGTAAAGCTGACTATATAAGATGTGAATCTCATTAAACTTATTAACCTGCTAAAAGCATCTTCCAACAGATTCTCCAAAATGAAGAAAAAAAATTTAAATTCTCTATAAAAAATTATCGTCATCTCCAACAGATCGTATATTTTAGAGATTAAACGATCAATTATATTATTAAAATATTCAATACAACTCATAAATATATTATTTTTAATTTCAAAACAAGAATGAATAAAAAATCATTTCTTTCTCATAAGTAACCATTTTTTGGAATAAATCTTTGAATTTAAATAATTTGTTTGATCAAAATCTTCGAAATCTCCATTTTAGGAGGTGTTTGGGATTGCTTATAGAAACAATTTATTGACTTATTCATGTGTGGCACCAGTAATAAGTATTTTTTTAGTGTTTTGATAAACAACTTATACCGGTAATAAGAAGTTATTGAAAAAATTAAACATCTATGACTTATAATAAGTCGATAAGGGGGTGTTTGGGATTGCTTATTTGAAACAACTTATGTTTTTCTATAGAAGTCATTATCAACTTATTATAAGTTAGAATGGTTTAACTTCTTCAAAAACTTCTTATTATCGGTTTGACACCGGTATAAGCTGTTTATCCAAACACTCAAAAGTACTTATTACCAGTGTCATACCGAAATAAGTCAATAAGTTGTTTTTATAAGCAATCCCAAACACCCAGTATTTTTGTAGAAAAATATAAGTTGTTTCAAACAAACAATTCCAATCACCCTTCAAATATCTCACATTTACATTGGAGTTATCTAGAAGAAAAAAGGAACGTGCTTTATATATATATATATATATTTATATATATATATATATATATATATATATATATTGTATGGAGGGTTGAGATGGAGACAGTTTCTATTTGGGGGATAAACTTATACCAAATGATTGGGTGCACGTCGGAGGTTGACCGGTGGCGCCACCAAATCAGATGGTGGGCTTTGGCCGGAGCAGCCGCAATTCCACTTCAACCCAAACCGACCACTTTCTAAATATAGAATTTAATTACAAATTTCATCCCTATCATTTCTCAAATTTCTTTAGTTTTAAGATTACAAGATGATATGATCATTAAATGAGAGGCATTTTCGTTTTTTTATTGATTTTTTGGTTTTTTATCCAAATAAAAACCATAGGGACGAAAATTGTAAAATCTATTTTGATCGGATAAAAGTAAAAAAGAATCGATAAAATGATAGAAATGTCGCTAAGTTTTTTTTAATTTCATTAAAGGGATGAATCAAATCCTGACGTTTTCGTAAAATAATTTAAACTGTAGGGACAAAAAGTGTTATTTTCGACAAACTAGAGGGACTGAATTTGTTGGTTTAGTCTTAAATATATCTATTTAAGATATTTTCAATTATTTTGGAGAAAAGAAATTATGTGTGAATGAATTTTAAGAAAGTTACATATGTAATATATTTGGTTGTTTGTAGGTTTGTTTATCGGTTGACATCTATTGGATGTGAAGGGAAAAAATCGATCTAATCATTCATTGGATGTTGGATTTTGTCAACCGATCTGATCTGATTAACATTGGATGATTGGATCAGTTCGGGTGCACCTATATGATACTTTTATTGGATATTCAATGGATGATCCGTTGGGATTGGATTCTTCTAGTGTCTTAATTCAATACAATTCTCCAACAATGATACAAATTGATTAAATACTTTTAATATGTGTTAAAACCAACACAAGGGAAGTTAAAAATTCAAAGACTCACATAAAACAAATTCCGATTTAAGCAATTTGAAAATAAATTAATTGGATGATAGTTGAATGAACAACTGGATGGTCATCGGATGATTAATTGGATGTTGATCGATTCAGTTCGATTCGGTTTTGGTCGGTTAAGGTATCGGTCATGTTGTGGCGAAAGATGCACAAGTAAAACTGAAAAGCCAACTTTTCTTCAGATCAAGAGTTCTTCTAACTAGGGTTATAAATGAGACGAGACAACTCGCGAGCTATTCGAGATCAACTGCATTAAAATTGGGTTAACACTCGACTCGAGTAGGCTTGACTCGAACTTGAACTCTACTCGATATACTAATGAGTCCCACGGCTGCTGTGTAGATAAAGCAAAGGGTATGGAAGTGACTATATAATGAACAACATAATGAAAGCACATAACCATGATATCAGCACTGATTTCGAGTTCGAGCTTCAAACGAGTTCAAGTTTGAACTTTATACGAGTTTATCAATTGCTTCTGAGTTTAATTGAGTTCAGATTTTAACTACTCGTGCGTTTTTAAGTCGAGTTCGAACACAAAAAATGACTATCGAGTTCGAGTCGGGTATGTCAATACTCGAGCTTAATTCACATCATTTACTACTTCTAGTTCCAACCTTCTAAAAGGTGATACATAGTATGATTTTCATTTGTCGTATATAAATATTATATACTTGAAAATAAAACATAAAACCATGGTTATGAAAACGTAGCCTTATAGTAAGTAAATGTTGCGTTATGTTGTGTGAAATTTACGTTACTTACAATTTTCAGGCTTAGAATCGGTTATGGGCCCAAGAGGCCAAGACTAGTTATGAAAAGTGGGCCTTGAACCCAGGACCCGTAAATATGCTTATATATACTATGTTATAAAGCATTTGATAAAAAATCTTAAAAACCATTTTTTATGCATAAAGTATTGTTTATTGATGCATATTACTTAAAATTCAAGATTACAAATAAATTGTGTATAAGTACAACTTATTAAAACTTTATTATTAGTGTAACTAACTGAAGATAAACATAATTAAATATAGGATAAACATCTCATTTTAAATATAAAAAATCTAAATACAATAACGATAATCATTGAATTCTAACAAAATATTTAATTATTATCTTTATAAAAAATTGTATTATTAAACCAAAAATAAAAAATGAATTAAAGGAATACATAAAATCAAGAAATTTTAAATAGTTAGTTTGGTACTAATATCAATTTTTTTCAATTTTTTATGATATATCTTCATATTTATATTTTATTCAAAAATAAAAACATTATCGTTTTCTTAAAACTACATAAAACTGTATTATATATCGGCTGAGACAAAAAAAAAAAATAAAATCGAGATATATCTCGCTAAATTGTGCGAGTACCTTTCTAGTAAATTTAATTAGCATTATTTATTTATTGTATAATATAGATAAACTTAAAAACGTAAATGGTAGAATCTCGCATATTTCATCTACATGATTAATTACGTTACTCGTATACTGTATACAAGTNAAAAAAAAAAAAAAAAAAACGAAACATTAAAATTGAGATATATTTCGCTGCATTGTACGAGTACCATTCTAGTCTCTACAAATATATGGTCATTTTATTTGTATAATATAGATAAACTTAAAAACGTAAATGGTAGAATCTCGCATATTTCATCTACATGATTAATTACGTTACTCGTATACTGTATACAAGTGGATGTTTGGTTAAAAATATTAATCAGTAATCAATGAGAATGATAATAAAAGAAACTGTTTGGTTTATATAATGGACTCATTCCCCAAAAGCCCAATTTTTCATTACAAGTTAAACTAGAAAAAATGAAAAGTCAATTCCATTTTCATTCCCTGTCATTTTCATTTTCATTCTTCAACCTGAATCAAACAGCCCTAAGTCTGTCACGAGTTTATTTTGAGCCAAACGTCACAATCAAACTTGAATGCATCGTTAAGAACCTTCACGATTGTAAACTACCACTCGAACGACATTCATCACAATCCCAAACTCTCGGTATTCTCCCAAACCGCTCCAATGAGTACACTTTGACACCAAAACACTCCAATGAGAAGACCAAATCTAATTTAAGGAATGGTAACGCATCAGATCTGATGTAACACCGTTCATTTACACCAAAACTTACGCCAACCGAAGACGAAAAGAAACACACCTAAAATCTTGCAATTTAGTATAAAAATTGGCATTACCTATTAGAGAAGATTTATCGTTAGCACCAATTTCTATCGATTTGGTGTTACCCATTCGAGTAGATTTATTGCTCGTGCTAAACTTTACACGATTTGGTATTACCCATTGGATATGCGCCGTCTAACTATCACCAAGGGTAAGATTGTCATTTAATCAATTAAAAACTGTAATAATTACACATTTTTTAAACAGTACGCCTTTTCCGTCATGGACGAAGAAGTATATGCTTCTTAAAGAAGAAACGAAACACTTGACTGGAAAAACCTTTCAAGTGTGCACAAAAGTTTAATAGTTTTACATCGATCAGATCTTATTAACCCAGCAGGTCTATCAAAGTGGGCTGAAAACGGGCAAAAAAGGTGCAAATAATAGAAACAATCTTATCAAATTAACATCTACCTCAATTTCTTTGTTTCATGGGGACCGAAGAGAGGAGCTCTACCGTCGGTATCATTCTTGCTTTTTACCTGTCATACCCGCAACCACCTGCAATAACCCGTTATTGACCAATTGACAATATTCAAGTTCAAGAAAAGTGGAACGTTATAGGGCATTAGCGATTTGAGCTCTTAACGAGAGCTCAAGCATAATAATTCTCGAGCTCGAGTCAATCTCGAACAATGAATAAAGCTCGTTTAATTTAACGAGATGAGGTCCGTAACATGAATGTTAGACTCGAGCCGAGCCATTAGAACATATACTTTTTCGGGCCAAACGTGTTCATATGTTTATAAATCATACAATTAAAATATAAAAATTATTGAACTCCCTCTGGCCAATAAACAAGTTAATCGACCTCAAAGCTTGATTTTTAGGTATAATGTATAATTCGAATTTGTCAAACGAGCATCGAACTCGAGCTTGAACATTGAAAAGATATTCAAGCTCGGGCATTAGTTTGAGAAAGTTATTCGAGCTTGCCCTGGTACTACTTTCTCAAGCCGAGCTCGAACAACTAGCTATTTGATTTGAGTCAACCCGACCCTGATTGTTAACACCCCTAGGATCAAGTAACAAGGCCAGAACCAGAGAAGAGCTGTCATCAACATCAATTCAGATTACACAACAACATGCGGTACTCACATCGCTTAAAGCAGGTTGAGGAACTTGCTTGGATGATTCGAAGGAATCCAACATGGGCCTCACAAAAGCAGGAAGGAACAGACCTAAAATTCACAGTAAAAATTAGGTATATGAGGGGATTCTTTTGACGAACTGGTAACTAAAGTTAACCACAAGATGTGGACTAAATTCCCAGGCGGACAAACATATTTGATGTCAAAACTCATCATTGAAACAAATAAGATGTTGGATATGGTCTTATATTTCAAACCGTTGAAGTGGTGAGATGGTATGGATCCGGTTATAATAGCAGTATTACACATTGTCTTTCTTTAATGTATGCATCACACTGAAATTCACAAGATATAATAGGAATCCTATAAACATGTAAGCAAAATCAATGAAGCATGCAAAAGCCATGTTCGATTTTTTGTTATGTAACTATTATTATTTGGTAATTAGCCATCTTAGCACGTGATTAGAGAACAGCGTGAAGCTATGAAGCAACGATTTCAGTTGGCAGGTGCATAACGATAGACCTGGAAATTGCTTCACATATTACAGGAGGAAAAAAAGGTTGGGGGTTTATAATCTTCATACCTGTGGGTAGAAGTGACTCAAGGACTCTTTAGTCTTGTCACTTGTAAGCAGGTGTTTTGTTAAGAAGCAATAAGTAATTGGTGGAGCTGGGGTGAGTTAGCAGTTGGTCGGGGCCCTTGGCAGTAGCATATAAGAGGGAGGGTGATGAGCGGGAACGTTTGTTCATTTGTATAGTCATGAAGAGATCCAACCTCTCTAAAGTGGGAAACTTTCAATGACATTGATGAGTTCCTTTTTCTTCTTCTGAATTACCATTTTTGTTGAGACATTGCTCAAAAAATGGTATCAAAGCCTCAATCCTACATCATGCCCAGATTGGTATCATCAAGGGTGGGAAATGGAAAGAAGCCTGGGCAGGGGTGGACCTAGCTCAGAGCATATGGTATCTTGGGCTACCACTTCATTGTCCTGACATGGTGGAAAAAATTTACACTCTTAAGGGTGTCAGCAATTTTATTAGAAATGTGCCACCGTTTTGGTTAAATGAAACAAAACAAGGTGCTGACTAATGATAAGAGTTCTCATAAAGAAAGAGGAGGTCATAGATTCAAGTTTCGGTGAGCAGATTTTGTGATGGTTTTTTTTTATTAAAGATGGTCCATTAATGAATTAGCCGGCCCAACCTAGGTTGCCTAATTTCTTATTGCTTTCTACCATCTTCCCTAAGTTGTAGCTATAATTAATTTTTACTAATTATTATTTTATAATTAATTTTTATTTACTTTTATACTGTACCATTGGTGCAAAAATTGTCTAGGTCCTCCTCTTAGCCTGGGTATGGTTCATGCCAAAGTGGTTGTATTAGAAGAGATCATGCAAATGATTATGCAGCAATCTGGAGCGCTGCTGCAGTTGCATGAAAAAAGTAGAAACAGCCGAGAGACGAGAGATACAGGTGAAAGAGCGGAGTCAGGCAAGTAGGGTTGATGAGCATACCGGTGAAAAGGGCAGTCTGGGCAATTATAGGCGACTGGAGATACCAGTGTCTGATAGAACCGGCCCCAATGGGTGAATTCTACGGCTGAGAGGTTTGTTCGATGAGGATGCGTTTGGTACAATGGCCAGGACAGAACTAAGGAGCACTTTTCCATGTTTGGCAGGACTTTTATGTGGAACAAGGTGGAACAGACCTGTATTTTACCAATATAACCTCAAAATAAAACTTTGTTCTCTTCTAAAACATCAAATATGCCTCCTACTTTACATTCATTCATTCTTTAAATTTTATTTATTGTATTTTATGATTTTTAAACTTTCACTTTACTGTCCTCAAAATATTATTGCTACATGGTTTCTATATTTTGATTAATTTATGTAATTTATTAAATATTAATAATAATAAAATAATATATAAAATGCATAAAATAAAAATCAGAAACTACATGAACTTCTTATTTTGGTGTCATTTTAATCGTCTTGTGGTAATGATATATTTTGTTCTAAAATTATTTTTTTATTATAGTTTATAAATTACAGAAATTAATCAAAATTTATAGAAAATATAAACTCATTAGAGGTAAATTGGTCATTTTATTTGTTTTGTCATGTCCAGTTCTGTCTTACCAAATGTTGAACTGTTCTGTCCTGCCTGTCAGGATGCCAAACGCACAATGAACAAACTAACTAATCAGGAACTCCTGAAAGTTGCTGTCATTTCATTTTAAGGCGACACATTAAGGTGGATACCACTGGGAGAATGAAAAAAGGCCAATAACACAGTGGGAGGAATTGAAGACTTTGCTGTTCTAGCAATTCAGATCTGCGACGGAAGGGACTTTGTGCGAACATGTTTTAGCTAAGACAGGACGGAACGGTGTTGGAGTATAAATGAAAATTTGTGGGGATGGCTGCTCCATTAGAGGGGATTCCTTAACAAGTTTATGTCAGTTAATTCATCAACCGACTGATGCGAGAGGTGACAGCGGAAGTGATGCTTCTAGCTCCTGTAGGATTAAATAAACCCATAGCACTATCGAAGTGGCCTCGATGGTAGAAGAAAGCAGACCATCTTAGCTCCTGTGGGCAAGGGAAAAAGTTTCAGGCGGTTCAATGTGTTGAAACGAGGATTAAGGGTAGTTGGGAACTTCGGATGAAAAAATGGGTCGATGAGGAATAGTAAGGTAAATAATACAGGTTCAAAAAGAACACAAGAATTTACAAAGTTGACAGACAAAGAACTCAAACAGAGAAGACAACAAGGTTTATGTTATCATTGTGATGAGAGATATTCTCTGGGCCACCGTTATAAGAAAAAAGAGTTAAGCATGCTGGAGGTCCTGCAAGATGATGGAGAAGAATTGGAGAAGGTAGACGAAACAGATGAAAACTATGCGAAAGAATTGGTTAATATGAATAAAGGGCAAAACATGGAGATATATTTAAACATGGTTATAGATTTTTCTAATCCTCCTAAGACGATGAAAATGGAGTGTATGGTTGGAAAACAGAATGTCGTAGTGCAGCATCTCACGACTTCATCTCTTCAAAGTTGGTAGATATCATGGACTATTGGTGAGACCGACAGAAGGATATGGTATCTCTTGGGTGCTGGCGAGGCTGTAAAAGGAGGGGGGTGTCAACGGATAAAGAGTATGGATCCAAGGGAGTTAAATATTTGATCACTTCTTGCCTTTGAAGCTGAGCAATTCAAATGTTATTTTAATTAGGAATGCAATGATTAACTACTTTATGCACAATATGGGAATAGCAAACCCAGGTGATGAAATTTTAGATGGGAAAGAAACAGGTCAAGTTGAAAGGAGATCTCACAGCACCTAAATGATAATGGAGAATTGGTAGTGGAACCAAAGTTGTTATTACAATGCAAATTGAAGAGTAATGGTGTCTTTTGGAGGTAATAACTAAATGGAAGTGTTTACGTTTATTTGAAGCCTCGTGAGAAGATGTTGACTCGATTAGCACACAATTTCCCGCTTTCAACATCGAGGACAAGGTGCAAGTTTGGCAGGCAGGTAATGATAATTAATAAACATGGAATACGCTTCACATAAGGGGTAGAAGAGACTAAGGGCCCATTAGTCTTTTCACTTGTGGGCAGGTGTGTTGTTAGGAAATAGTTGGGAATTGGTGGAAGGTGGGGCTGGGGTTAGTGGCGAACCTGGCTGGCAGTAGCATATAAGGAGAGAAGTGATGGTGGGAAGGGATATCAATTTGTATAGTCGGGGAGAGATCCAACCTCACTAGAGTTGGGAAACTTTCAATAAATTTCATAAGAATTCCTTTTCTCTTCTTGTGAATTGACCATTTTTGTTGAGATAAAGCTCAATCATATGCTCCTAATTAGAGATAGATTCATAGGAAGTCCATAATTCTTAGGATAATAAAGTATATATCTAAAATACATCACCAAAAAAATGTTAAAGAATAGAAAACCAGAAAGCATATATTTGCAAAGAGCTCCCCAATGAGGCTTGATTAACTTATCGCCACATGTATGGATTTAGTTTCACAAGCATGCTTAAGAATTTTATGACTGCAAAAGCTGAAAGTACTTCAAAGTTGCAATACCAATCATTCTGAGTCATCAAAAAATGATGACAATGCAAGATATCTTAAAGATATATTTCAACCTCAAATAGGGATGTCAATTATTTACAGCTTTGTTTACTTCTATGATAAAGTATTCAATTTTGTAGACATCGATCAACATCTAATTCACTTCCTTTTTCATGAAACTAAGACACTGACATGGGGGAAAAAAGATGTTGTAAGAATGATTTCAACATTTTCAAGACAAGGACAAGCTTTGACGTGAACTCGTGAAGGCAAAGATGACTTCCAAGATCAAGGGGTCTAACTCTAAGTGTCTTAAGTCTATAGCTTAGCTTGACTTATAAAATTGGGATTTGCTGCTGCCTATCCATGAAGGATATAACAAGCACAATGGCCAGCTAAATGGTTCAAAAGATCTATAATTTGCTCATCAGAAACATGACTGCTGGAAGATATTTTACTTCATTTTTTATGTCCAATGTAAAACTTTAAAGTCGGCAGATATAATTACATGACACCAAAAGTTGCATATCCCTGAATTCAAGATGCTAGATTGAATAGAAGACAATATTGTTCTTTCAAAGAAGACAGAAGGTAAGATCAATTTGACCCTGAATTACAAGATATTACCACCTAAGGATGGGATCAAACACCATGAATCTAAATCCACATGATATTCAGAAAAAATAAGTTGAAAATGCAAAAACAACCAGAATTCAAATAATACACTAATGAACAAAAGATGATTCCAATCACGAAAGCACAAGTTCATACAATCCAAATATCCCATGAACCCAACAAGATAAAGATCTACGCTAAGCATAGAATGTAAGTTAGGTAGTGAATAATGTTAAATTGGATCCGATCGGAAGAAAACTACAGAATCTAGGGTTCATGTAAGAGAAAGGGGGTTCGTACCAAAACCACCGATGAGGCAAGAAGCAGCAACAATAGGCTCTTGGACGATGAACATCTTGAGTTTCTCCATCACCGCCATTTCACTTCTATCTTCTCGTTATGCAGCTTCCTTATGGCCTCTGTCTCCGGTGTGTGTCGTCAATGGTAGCTTTCAACAGTTTAGGGTTGTAATAAGGGGAGCCGGCTTGACGGCTTCGTTTGGGATCGAGCTAGGTTTGACCATTTGTTGACTTGAATTCGGCTCCCATTTAAACTTGTTTTTCCGAAACGAAGGAAAATAAAATTATTTTTCTGTGTGTTTTTTAAAAGTAAAATTGTATCAAAATGGAACCAATTTTTATCTGATTTTTATTTTGGGGAACCAACTTTTAAAATCGTCATTTTGGGGAACCAACTTGCACCTGATTCCTATTTTGGGAAACCAACTTGCAAAATAATTATAGAAAAATAACTAAAATTCGTTATTTTTCAAAAATTAATGCAATAAAATCTATTTTTCATTTCAAATCTCGTTTTTTTTTTAATTTAGATATCAAATTGAAGATTTTTTCAAAAAAAATCTAAATTACCACAATAAAAATTGTTTTTTACTGATGAAATAAAAAATCAATTTAATAGAAAAAATTAATTGATGCAATAAAAAATAAATATTAAATATCACATTCAAGATTTTTATATCTAACCAATCTGTATCAATATTAAAGTTTAAATCAAATTTAGCAAATCAAACCAAAAGTTTGATAGAGACCTTTAAATTACCTGTTACATGTTCAACAGATCAACCAAACCCTTAAATAAACAAAAAGTTTGATAGATACCCATAAATGACGATTTTGAAAGTTGGTTCCCCAAAATAAGAATCAGACGAAAGTTGGTTCCATTTTTGTGCAAATTTTCCCTTTTTGAAACTTGAAAGAGAATCAAGAAAAATAATTAAAAGAAAATGAAAAATATCATTTTTATCAGAGAAATTGACTAAAATGATCATTTTTTTATTAACATATATATCCAACCCGCTATGCGAGCCGACTAATTCCAAGACGACTAGCTGATTTGCAAATAACTCGGAGTCACCGCATTTGAACCTTCGTGACCACAAAGGGATTTTATTCCTTCTTGGATTTGAACTTGGGACCTCCTGCTACTTTTGACCTTTGGAGCCAAGCTCAAAAAATAACCATTTTTTAGAGCTTGATGGATAATAAATATTTGATTTAGAAGTAAAGGACTTGATGGATAATAAACACCAGATAAAAAAGTTGTTTTTTTAAAATCGTCCAAAATATCGTATAACCCCTTAAGCACTCCTCAATCTAATAGACTGATACTATTACGAGAATGATAAGTATTATAAAGTGCACGCAAATCATGTCTTTGTTGACTTGCCATCTTGCATCTATATGCCGAGTAGTGGTTTTGAGTATCAGTGCGGGAATTCTTCAAATATAGTCGAAGTTGTAAAAAACTTAGGGGCCGTTTATCAAACGCCTATTTGGGTAACAATGAAGTTCTATTTACTCAACAAATTTTCCCCTCTTCTTTTGTTTGTCTACCACTTTTTATATTATATTTATAGTATACGTAATTATTATAATATAATTATAATAATAAATAAAATAGGTAATAACTCTAAAAAAACGTTCTGATACGTCTGTAAAAAATCGAAACTAACACTAGGAATCTTTGACGAACAGTATCACGAATCATTATTATTTCGACACAAGAAAAGGATTGTCTAATGGATAGGACAGAGGTCTTYTAAACCTTTGGTATAGGTTCAAATCCTATTGGACGCAATTTTTTTCCAGATATTTTTTTAGATTTCGATATCAAAAAATAAATTTTGAATGATTTGAATCCAAAACGCTTGAGTACTCTTTT